ATATTTTGCATTTCTGGACCCTCAACTTCACTAGTCAGCTTGTCCCACGTGCTGAGGTACCTATTTTCTCCTCAAAATTTTCATTTATAATTTCAGATAAATGTGGATCTTACTGAACTGAAACTCCACGGGTTATCCAATGAACTTCTTAAAAAATAGGCATTATATTTGTTACTTCCAGTTCTTTTGCACATAAACGTTTTTTAATGAAGGACTGTGTATTCTTAGCAGATCAGCCTGTTTATTCTGAAGCTCTTTCAGCATTTTTGGATGCTCACCATCTGGGCAGGTTGACAACTTGCTAACATACTGCTGTCACTATCCAGGCCTTCGAACAGGAAGTGAGAATGGGTCAGAAAGTCCTTTTTCAATTGAAATAATTCAGTAGGAGGCATAAAGTAAGGCTGAGTTGAAAACAACTTTTGAGAATTCAGAAACTGATTTGATGAATGGGAGATTGGGAACAGTAACATAATTATTGCCATCATCCACTTCAGTTTATTTGGAGTATAAATAAACAATTATATGATTATAAATATGCGTATTTAGAGGCAAATTGCTTTCTACTGTAACAAATTTGAAGACAGAAGTATTACACTGCCATAACTAATTGGAGAGATTCAAAGTCTCAAAGCACAAATACAACACCACTTCTGTATAGCACACTGGAGGTCTTTGTAGTTATAGTTCATTTCAGGAAAATTCCTGAATAGAAATAGGGTTAGGTTTGCCTCTGAGCACTTTGTTTAAGTGAACTATAAACAGAGACATGCCTGTAACACCAGCCATTAGAATTCAGAGTCATCAGTAACGAAGAAAAGTTGCCATTAGCAGTAAGTCAGGCAGTGTACCGCAGCTCTGTCTTGAGGAATTGAACTCCCCAAGACCTCGACATTTATCGGTCAGTTCGTGGCCACAAAAACACATTCAGCCATTCTAATCAATAGGAGTCTAAATCACAGCTTTACTACCACGCTCAGGTCTCCAGCTCAGCGAGTAAGCGAGGAGAAGGCTGCAGGCATATGAAAGGTAGCAGCAAGTGTTGGCAATGTGTATAACAAACCAGAGAGAAAGCCTGCTAGGCAGTGGGGGAGGCATTAACAGCTGAGCGAATTGAGTGTTTGGGTTTGCATTTTTCCATCTGCTGAACCTGGCTTAACTTCTGTGTGGCCCTGGCAGGGCCCTGGCCCTTGCGGTGGGCGGTAGCGTGCTTCCCACTCCGTATGTGTCACCACGGCCGAGACTGATGTAACAAAGAGGTGTCAAAAGGAGAAAATTCCACATGTTAGGATCATGGATGTAGTGCATTAGGTTTGTAAGCCTCTTAGTATATTTTGCAAGAGCTGGGTGATTGTCTGGTTTTTCAGGGGTTCCCACAGAGGAGGAACACGTTCTGGTTTTATGGTAAGGAAAATACTCCCTTGCAAGGGAAAACTTCCAGACTCCGGAGACTTGCTGTGGGCTGATAAACTGTCCCTTGTATACATTTTGGGCAGGATGACTTCTCTGCTTTCTCTTGGTGCTATTGTCAGTCTGAGGACCGTTTGTTACTTCTGTGGTTTCAATATTTTTTATTTTCCATTGAATGCTAACACAATATATTGTTATGCTCATATACATAAATACAGCTTTTAGACAGTTAGCTTCCCAATAAAACATATCAAAGCATATCACACATCTTATTAATTATGCCAATAATTGTTTCCCATCCTCAAGTGGGCTCTGAGTGGCTGTTACAACCCCTCCAAGTAAAGTTAAAAATATTAAAAGATAATAAAAAGAAGTTATAGTTAAAATTAAATACAAACCAGTAATACATTTCTGTTTGTTTTGTTACCTTACACAATAAGCTTTTTCCTTTCTGAATTTTCTTCTTAGTAGGAAGAGTGCTTTTTGGAATATCTTTTCAATGGAAAATAAGTAGAAACAAAAAACCTGCAAGTCCTAGACATTACAATAGACAAAATAAAAAAAGTTACACATGGTGTAGTGTCAGGTATTCTGAATGTATTTTATATATCTCTTCCAGAGTAGAGAGGTGTATATTCTTTTATATTTGTGCTCTATTAAAAATATAATGAAGTAGTTGTAGGAATACAATACAATTCCATTAACCTTTTTTTTTGTGTCTTAGATGTTAACACGACTAAGCAGCATCAGGAATAAGCAGCACTCATTAATAACCTTCACTATTCTCTTCTGTAATACATTTAGTACTTTACATACTCTGTCAGTCATACACAAAACAATTATGGAGTTTAGAAAATCCATTACAACTACAGAAGACAACCAGTCAGCCACAAGTAACATAGACTTTGCTGAAAGAAAAGGGTTTTTTTAAACAACATTTTTTAAAAGTATCAATGTGTATATGATAAAAGGTTCTGTTCTAGTTATAGTCTGAGTCTTCCACTGATACCAGAGGGAATACCGAGCAAAGAGCCAGGATGGAATATGATGGCCTCATGCTCAGATGAGCTGTTAAAATGCCCAGTCTCTGAAATTAGAAAGAAACAGCATAGGGAACCACCTAATGAGCCTTTACGCTCTTCTACGTTAAGGATTATGTGTTCTGTTCTAAAAATAACCTGGTTCCTCATGTGGTGCAAAGAAATGCCATACTTGCACAATAAGAAACTGCCTGTAGTCCCTGTGAGTATCCACCTGACATACACTGACCAGAGAAAGGGATTTTCAAAAGAGAACAGATGTATATTCAGCATTTTGTAGCAATTAGTTGACCTTCCAAAAAGGACATAAGCATTAAGAACTTCCCCAAAAAATCAGTGCTTGACTATAGGTCAAATTTTCTGCAGGAACAACCAAACTGATAACGCAGTTGCGTACTCCAGCAGATTAATCCCTTGCTACCCTCCACTGTTATTGCTGTTAGCTTTACAGGCATCGTGAATTTAAAATTCTAGTGACTCACACCCTTGCAGGCTTTTAAACTCTTCTTTTAAACCCAGGAGTAACAGTGAATTCCCATAAGTCTGTCATGTTATTTCAGGAAAATAATCACAGCACTACTGTAGCATAAAGCACAGCCAGCATGGCTGGCTGGCTCTGAAATACGATTCCATGAAACAACTTTCTCCAGGTAGAATTGTGAGACAATATACTGGGGAATAGTGCTTGTAAATAAATGTTGGTAGCAGATTAGCAAGGTTCTCCGACTCCACTTAAATTCATAATATGTCCGTAATGAGAGGGATACACAGCTATTACCTTTATAATTTGATAGAGAGTGCATGTAGGCAAGTATAATGGGAAAAATCAGATCAAAATCAGCACACGTAATTCAATAGGACTTTAAGTAAAAGACTGAAACAAAAGACAAGATGAAGCAGAAAACACTTCATGATTTGCTGGTAGATTGGAGATGGGTTCATGACTTTGCATTTCATTTCTTTGCCATGCAAGCACTGAAGAAGAAATGGACAAACTGAGTTGGCAATCACAGATGTGCAGCCAACATTGAGAAATATTAAAAAAGATTATTTGGGTTCACCTGGGGTTTGAAATCATGCTCATATAAAAGCTAAAAATATATAAAGAAAATAAGGTTTGACATATAAAAGAAACCTGTCAAACAAGAGATGATTTATTGAGATGATTTTTGAAAGTGTATTTATTAAGAACAAATTTGGATGTTTCAGCTGTGAAACATAGTTTAAAATCTTTCTAGACACACTGTAAATACTTATGGAATAGGTAGTTATTAAGTCAATTACTGACCAGAACCCAGGCAGCTATGAATAAAAAGGCATCCAAAAAATTACCATATTAGAGTAGTATTGTTCAAGTGGGATTTTTTTTATTTTCAAATAACATTTAATATAAACCCCCTCCATTCTTTATGATAGAAGCATACTATTTAGGATTGGCTTCTTAAAATACACATTAATCAGCTCATGTGATTAGGTGACATGCATATGATTAGTCTTATTTGCCAATCAACACCTGTGTTAGAAATATGTATAAATATACATGGTATTCCTGTATATATTTTAAAGATGGCACTGGAGCCACAATGATTGATAACTTCAAGTGAAGTGCAAAGGTTTCTAAAATAAACTTGAGCTCTCTTCCTGAGCTCTAACCAAACCATCTTCAGTAGCAGTGTAGGTTTCTCACAAGTGATGCACTAGATGTATGTAAACAAAAGACTATTTTAACTTTGAGTTTGTAATAGATTTTGATGCCAAATTCAGATTTGGCACAGTTTAACAGATATAGGTATCCTTCCTGGAGTTGCATATGCTATACAAACTGAATTTATCCTGCCAAATTCAAAATTCCCTGAATTTCAGAAGTATCTGTTACTAAATTTCATTGCAGGATAGTAGAAAAAAATTACTTCACATTCACTAGCTTCATTCAGAATAAGGAATAAATTCATTGAAGACTAAATAATTGCAATTACATTGAAAAGATTTGACAGGGACACACAGAATTCATGTAAGTGATGTGTGACAGTTCAGCTATAGAAATATTGCTAGCTGAAAAATAAGCTGTGCTTCTAGCTTTCAGCACTGTAACAGCCCCAGTGTTATACAAGAGATTTGTTTTGTGCTGCTTCATCATCAGGTGGAGAAAGACAGACCTTTTATTCTGCTGATTTCTTTGTAAATTTTAGAGAATTGGGTGCTTCCAGTTGTAGACAGTACAAAGCCCCATCCTATAATTAGATGTGTATAACTGAACCCTTCATCCTATAGCCAGATCTATACAACTAAATACTTTTTCCTGGGCAGAGTTCTGTTTAAATCAGTGAAGCTTCACATAACTGCAAGGATATGTCCAAGTGATAATTTATAGGCTTGTGTTACAATGCAGTATTTTTATCAAGAACTTCTTTTGATATGTAAAACCCACCTGATCTTCAATATTGGGCATCTTCTATGCAGTACAACACTGCGTTGGGCAATATGCCTTCTTGGGCTTATTTTATATGTGTATAATATACACACAAATAAAAGTATCACCTGCAAATAATATTTGGAATGTGAAAGACACAAAATGTAAACATTTTATTTGGCAGTTTTTTCAAACAGGTGAATAAATAAATGGAAAAGTACATCTTAATATTCTTTATAGCAACAGATGCAGTTGCACACATATTTACATATTGTGGATGCAAAGAACAGTTAATTTAATTTCCTCTTGTTAAAAAATGCAACTTCCAACACCACTAGACTTGACAATTAAAGATGAAGATACTAGTAATACTTTGTTCTAGCAATCTCAACTTTTAAAGGCATTCATTTGGAAGTAAGATAAGAGAGTCATCATGCATTTAGTTCATTTTGTCCGCTTACAGTAGAAAGTCTGATGTAATCTCAGAATTATGAGTGTCATGCGCTTAAGTCAACTATGACATGTTTATAAATCAATGTAGTTCCCTTAAAACTTGAAGCAAAGAGAAAATCTCGTTTATCGATGGAGACATGTATGAAAGATCTTGGTGCCTGTACGTTTAATTCTTGAAACTTCACAAATTTTGCCTTTTCCGCATCCCAATAATAGACTTGAGTAAAAGAATAATCACTTCCAAGAATGGCATATTGATAATTACTTATCTGAAGTGGTTGGAATACCATTGACCCTCGGGATGGCATCCTTTGTAAATCCAGAAATGCTGAACCACCCCATTTCATTACTTTAGAGTCCCCAATAAATCTTGTTAAACAAATGTATACATCCTCTTTCACTTTGAAATGTTTCACTGCATATGCATCTTCCATATCTTGGATATCAAACCGCTTAACAAATTCATTTGTTCCTTTGTTCCATTGATATATTACAGGTCTTTGGGAACTACTTGACAGAATTAAATGTGGTTTGCCAGATATTTCAAGATACTCCACATCAGTATCTCTGTACCAGGCATGCAGAGACTGATGGGAATAAAATCCATTCCCATTCCACTTGTAAACCGTGGTGAAACCAGCCTTTGAGCTGTCTGCAACAACAAAATACCAGTCTTCGGCAATCCTGAAAGTTTCAATGTCATTGGGTTTTCGGATTTTAAGGATTTCAATATCTTGAATTTTTATAAACTTATTAGCAAAAATATCTCTTTTATATATGTGGGAGCCTCCAAACAGCTGTGCGACAATGACATACAGCTGACTCTCAATAACTATAGGTTTACACACAACAGTCGAAGTACCTATAAAAAGAAAAGTAAAAGACAGGGTTAGTACCACTTTTTGTATCAGCTTTTGGAATGTTATTTGTCAAGCTGTATTCATACCTGTAATGTTGTCATAATTCCTGAACATCACTTCCACATGGTCCCATTCAAGAAAGATGCATTTTCCAGTAAAAGGCTGAGCAATAACCACGTGTTCATCATTCATATATGAGAAAGTATCTACTGACAGAGATTGGTATGGCAGGGACTGATAAACTTCAAATTCTGCAAAAGTGCACACAATAGATGATAATTATAGAGGTATTTTACATACTTTGCAGAAAAAAAACTCTGCTTATCAGATAGCAATTTTTTACAAATTACAGTATTTCATCACTAGTCCAATTTTCCTGATGATAAAGGAGCACTGCAATTTGGTTTTCAACCTTTCTTAATCAAAAGAGGTGCTGTTTTTGTCCCAGTTCTCCAAATCCTTATGTAACATATTAAAGTCTGCAATATAAGATCCCGCTTGCAAATGATTCCATGTCAGACTTACACCTGCACAGAATTCATATTGATTTTAGTGGAGGTTCCATCCAGTATGCAGACTTCCTGCTAAAATGGGCTCTAGAATGAAAACTATAGCTTTGACTTCAATTTAACAAGATTAAATAATTTGAAGCACATTACCTGTAATAATGCAATCAAATTCTTTCGGAGAGAGGCTATTGATTTTGCGCTTCTTATATTCTGCTGGGCTTTCACAGTAAATGTCTTCAACTGTTGCATTGGTGCTGCCCAGCCATTCCACTAACCACTTCAGTTTGCAGTCACAATTAAATGCATTGCCTCTAAGATCTCTACAACAAATCAATCATGCATTGAAAATAAGTAGTCAGCTGATGTATTCCTCCTTGCAGGACAACAAAACAGGCTCATGTTAAATGTGTGCCCTCTTGCTTATTCTCACTTGATATCTTCCTGGCCTAATTTGTCCTGACCCATAGTTGAATCTACATACCAGAACCCACACAGATTTAATTATATTAAGGTAAACAAGGAGACCTTAACTTGATGATCAGCTGGAAATTTTTGTTGATTTCCCCAAGTTTACAGGTACTGAAAAGCCTCCCAAACTACTGACCCCTGTTTCTTTTGGACTACCCTTTCTCTATAAGAGCATTCCAGATAACAAAATAGGAATTAACATAACCTTATGAGCAGCCAGTCAGTATTCGCTGTCCCCTTTAGATAGACTCATTTAGGGCTTTAGGAGACACAAGCAAAGGTGTTCTGTTCAAGTCTTTTACAGCTATCTTGAGTTGGATTTCCGATCGTATGAACAGGAACGCCAGGACCAGACTGTGTAACCACCTGGCCCGGATCAGTCATGCCAAGTAATGCTAGCAGATACACTGACCATCCCCACATCTTACTACTGCAGCTCTACACTAGGAATTCAGCCTACCTTGTGAATACAGGGAAAGGCTTTTTCTGTGCTTATTATCCCAAATCAGGTGAACCAGGATTTGGTATAGTATAAGCAGGATCTATTTCAGTGAAACAACTGTAGGATTTATCTGTTTATCTATATTTTGTATTTTTACTGGTATTTGGTTATATTTAAACAAGTTGATGTTTTGGTTTGGTTGCAATTAGATTTAGTATGGGACACAGTACTTACTAAGACACATGCTTTTGTGATACAAGATAGCTTTCCCAGAAATTACTTGCACATTAAAATGTTCCTCCATTAAATACATTCCCCTCATGCCTTGCTCTCTCATGCATCCCTAAGGATACTTCCTTCTTATTCACAAAGTGTTCATGAACATGCAGCTTCATTACATAACTACTAACAATATTACTTATCTTCATAACTGGTGGAATATTCAGAAGAAACGTAAATTCTCAACAACAGTAGAAAATAAAAGAATCCTACCTGTTCTGTGCAGTCTCTATCCAGTAATAAAATCTCATTACTTGCTACTGATTTGAATGGTTACTCAGAATGTCCTCTAAAATAAACTCCTTACACTTTTAGTATCATTAATAGATTAATTAATTGCTTTCTTACACATTTGTTAAAGAATCCAAGCCTTTGAATATGTCTTTTGGAAGGGACTGGAGATTATTATTTGCAAGACTCCTGTAAAAGAAGACACTTCAGTATTAGTGCTATTTCATGAAACTACACATTTTTCAAGGTGTAATATACTGGGGGGTGAGCGGTTCTTGTGGTAAAGAACACTGGCATTCTCCAGCACTTAGTTGTAAAAGATTGCTTTTAAGGCTAGCTCATTTACTTTGTGACTTTTCCTTCTACTAAACTGCCAAGCCTCCTTCTACTTTCACACTCTTCAGCAGCCTTGCAGCATTCACTTAGAGTAAAAAGTGCAATCACCTTTGGTGTTTTGCCAACGCCATTTAAAATTTTAAAACAATTAGTCATAATTGATCTACTGATGTTTTCCTTATGAGATCCCAATACATGGTGTTCATATTACTGCACTTTCCCCACTTCCTTGTATCTTTTCTGGAAGGAAAACCTTGGTACTATGTTACATTTTGATGGGTTTAGGTTTAGCTCATAGTTTTTGGAAATATGCAGTAACAGACAATAAATTACTCATTAGCATGAATTTCTTTCCTGGAATGTGCATGTGTGTGTATGTGTGTATAGGACCAGCAAAAAACTGCCATTAATTCCCAGTTTTTAATATTCGGAGAACTCATTTCAATTCAGTGAGTATTCTAGCTAGTAAAAGTGACGAGGAAATGTGAGCAGGCTTTAAACAAATAATATATAACATTTCAGTCAGACATATCTGTGTGAGTCCACCAAAGGTCTTGGAGATGTCACAGAAGGCATGACAGAGAAAGAATGATGTTGTAGGGTATTTCAATTAACAAAATTAACAAATTTCAACTATTTCAATTAACAAAATTATTTATTACTTATGAGAAGAAACAAAAATGGAGAGAAATCATTCCAGTTTAAGATGCCAGTTATAATTTGCAATTAGTAAGACTTAGAACCTCTGCTGTTTCAGTTTGTAAACATAAAAGTTATTTATTAACCACAATTTCTTTAGCCAAGCAAAGACAGTTAGGCATACACTTAAATTCAAGAACAGGGCTAGATGTACTAGATCTGCTGCCTCATTTAAAATTAAGTGTTTGCCTTATCAGGAATAGTAACTATAAGATGATTCCATTAGTCCATTCTGACTTCACCCCTATCAAAGTACATCTGATTGTAATACTGTGTGTGATTGTATCACATGCTTCACTTATGCATAATTTTATGCTCAAGAGCAATTCCTAAAAGTCAGTTGACTCACATGGAGAAAGCTGTGTGGACTTGCAAGCTGAGGCAAGTTTAATGCCCTGTATAGTTTTTATATATTATTATTATTTATATATATATAATATATATATTATATATATATTTTATATATTATTATATAGCAAACTGGAAGGGATGATGTACTTGGAAGTAGCAGTGGTTCACCATTGCCTTGGGAATATGACTGACAGAAAACTTTAAATAAGTTTATGCATTTGTCAATTTTTGAATGAAAATTATATATTGCATATTTCACAGTTAAAAGCATATATTAGAAACCACTGGTTTGTCTAGATGGTGCTGGTGTTTCGTGCTGGTATTGGCTTTATAATAGAGTAAAGGTTGACTCAAACATGCAGTTAAACTTATGGTCACAGTTCTGAAAGAAATGCAATCAAAATTATATATTGGGCATAGAAATATTATTATTGCAAGGAATTGCTAACAGTAAGATTTTGATATCAAATTAGTAAGCTAGTAAAAAAATTATTTTTCTTTATTTTTTCTGTTCTTAAATTTACTCTGACCAGGAAATAAATGCTGTTGCATAACAATAAATATTAGGCGGCTCTCTTTTACAATAAGGACACACTGTAATTATCAAAGTTAATGGCATTATAAAAATACAAATGTTTGGATAGTATACCACATTGCAAAATTAATGTTGTGAAAAGGAAGTGAACAGATTAGACAGAACAAAGTTCATCTTATCTAACTTCATAGAACTCATTTGTATGCTTATTTACTAAGATTCTTTTTAATATATTTTATATACACAAGTACTCTCTTGTTTTTAAAATGAAAAATGCCTCAGGGTGCCAAATGATTATTCTTAATATGTATGTGCAATTTTCCCCAAAGGATGAGGGAGTGGTTCTGCAAGCAGATTAAACTAGTCACATTCTGTGGTGCCTTTGCAGTTATTTTCCACAAATTTCTCACTGTCTTTGTGAACAGCACTCCATGGACAATAGCAGCATGATGCACAAATCCACGTCCCAAAAATATGCGTGCAAATGGCAGTGGCTCCTCAAATGTGGTTCTGTCTTTTGCATATGTTTTCTCTTGTGAGACTCCTGAAGCCTCCCCAGAAACCAATGTAGCAGGCAAGACAAGATGTTACTCTTGGTCTGTATGCTCTGTGGAGAAGAAACTGTGCCTTCCTCTGTGTTAGAAAAGCAATTTTTTCACTGGCAGCAGCAGCTACTAAATAAGTAAATGAATATGATAAATAATGTACTGGACCCATTTGTGAATATAAAGCTATTCATGTGCATAAATATTTTGAAGATAGGGTCCCAGTTACCAGACTTATCCAACTATCTGCCTTTTTTAACAACAGTATATTTATGCCTGTCCCTCTAATATGGGTTGTTATGGGATGTGCACAGCCTTTTTATGTACCTTTGTCCCTCTACTCTCTCTTTCCTCTTCCTCAGGCCTAGAGCCATTCCACAAATAACTTTATCTACAGTAGGCTTGGTTTCAGCCAGCCGTAAGTCTTGTTCTGACCAAAAAGGAAAGAGTAAAGTATTTTATGGTACATTTACTGCGTGGTAAAGAATGTGGTGAATTGCAATTCCACTATTATATTTATGCATTAACTATTTTAAATGTAACTTTTGCTTTCTCTCTTCTGTCAAAATATATGAAAGAAAAAGTTAAATGACCCTGTTTCAAAACCCTCTTGGAGGTTATCATGTTAAGGCCAAAAGGTCAGAATCTGTTCCTCTATCTATGACACACATCCCAACAGAGATGCTTCAGAATGCAGATGCTTAGAACTGGCTATAAACCCATGTCAGGCACACTGCACGTGCTTCAGTCTCCCTTTCTTCCAGTATTTTTGTATTTTTTTCTGTCTTCTTATAGTGTGTATTGTGTTTTCAATAAATTTATTCCTTGCTGAAATAAAATTATTGCTAAAAGATAAACTTGCTATAAGGTAAGAGACAAAAGCCTGTCTAGAAACTGTCTCACCAGTTCAGAGCACAAGGATGCCATTCCTGTGTTTGCAGTGAAATGTTGTAGGTATTTGTTGCCAGTGTGTGTTTCACCTGCTGAGCAGAGTGTGTAGAGAATGCCCCCACTGGGGGTGGGCATAGCATGAATGGATCCCAACAGCCACACTGGCATCCAGAGTGCCTTGGACTAATTTCCCCTCTTGGCTAATGCAGCAAGGGGCTGCAGCATGTCAGAGAGCAAGGGTTGGCCAAGATAGCCAGAGGGCTGAGCAGTAACACAAGGAATGTTATGCAGACCCCAGTGTCAGTGTGTGACAGATCCTGACGGTGGGATGCTCTTGCTTGCGTGCAGAAGAGGACAGGGCACAGAGCAGGGCTTTGAAGCCAGTCCTGCTGCTCTGCTTTACAGTGAAGTGGAATAAGTGGATCAGTAAGACATAATAAATGCATCTTGTTGCAAGTCTTTGATTTAAAATTGTTCTGGGTGGGAATTCTCAAATTTGATTTAGTCAAATTCTTTTGGATACTGTTAGTGGCTGAAGTGGACATGGGTACAGACAGTGATGGCCTGTCCCAGGAATGGCTGGAAATATTCTTCTGGATCCATGACAGACTGGGGTGCCTGGGAAGAGCTGTGTGTTCATGCCTCAGCCTCTCACATTCCTAACCACAGCTCCCACTTTCCTCCTCCCCACATCCCAAACTGGGATTCACCTCGTCAGTGCCAAGATTCCCAGCTCATACTTCTTTCTCTCTGCTCCTACATGCTCAGTTGGAAATCCCCAGTGCTCTGAGCAGAGAAAATCAGGGAGCTACTGCCAAACATGTACTGCTTGGAAGCTGTTTGGGTCATTGCCTTCTACACATACCACAGTTTGGAAGTCTTTGGTGGAAACACAAAGATTAACATTCTGATCAAATTCCTATTAATACCACTCAAACAAATATGGATATATATATAGAAATGAGAAATTCAACAACACAGTCGTTCAGTTACTATATTAAATATATCAAGTAATATATCCAACCACTTTACTTACAGGTGAATTAAAGATTTCAGTCCTCTGAAAGTATTTCTTGAAATGGACTTAATGTTGTTGTTCTCTATGAACCTGTAATGGGTCGTAAAGTCATTCTGGTCAAAGTAATGCCTGGAACTTGGAAGCCCACCCACTCTATTCAATAATGCCAGGAAATATACTTTTGTCCACTCACAAATATTCTAGATGAGGAAGGCCCATGAAAGCATCATCACTAATAACATCAAAAGTGTTGGAAGTAAACAACCTGCATAAAGAAGGGCAAAACAAAAGACCAGCTTTAGAAAATGGTTCAGCAAGCCACGGTAGGCCAAATTTCCACCACCTGGTTTCATGTTTTTTTCTGTGCACTATAGGACTGTATGGCTGATATACTGCACCATAGTCTGGTGTAGAGGGAAGGACCCAACAATTGTCTGCTGGGGCTATCTGATAAAATTCCATTGACTTCTGTGGAATGTAAACGTGGGTTTATCATGCCAGTAAAACAATGGGATTGTACAAGTGCTTCTGGAGATACACTAGGACAAAAATAAGATCTTCAAGTACTACAGAGGTTTACATTCTCTTGGTTTAAATTGCTGGTTACCCAGACATCAGGCTGAATTTGCACCACTGACAAGCAGGAAAATCAGTTATAGGTTAGCTTTGTAAACTTGTTTAATCTGAAGGTACTGAGAAGTTACTGAGAAAAAAAAGAAGAAAAATCTCTTCATTTACAGTGTTAAAATCAGAATTGTTTTCAAGACCACGTTGTACCTTCTGGAGATAGCTCTTAGTGCATCTAACAGTAAAAATATCAGCAACACATTTAATTTTATGTAATTTTGTAAACATTAAAAGTGTACTAGCATTGATTTTTCCAGTGTTATCTATGCTTATCAGCCATGTTTGCATTTGTCCATTTTTATTCAGCTCTGGACTGCCACAGCCTTAATATGGTGAGACACCGTCAACTTTACCCCAGTGGAATTCTTGATGCACATCTATATTTTAATCAGTTGGAACTGATGGATAAATAGATCCATACTATGACATTCTTAGACATTCAGGAATGCAAGATTTCCAAGTAAAAATGAATCCACTTAATGAGTTCATCTCTTATTTCGAAGTTTTCATTAAGACGAAATTACAGTTGATTTATTTTCTCACTTGACTATTATAGACTATGCTTTTTCCACTTTAAGTATGTTCCTTTATGAATTGCATAAAAAAATATAAGCAGGAAATTCTTTCTTATTATCAGAAATAAGAAATACTCCCATTTTAGAGAAAATAAGTATTTTTGTAAAATCTCTGAACCAAAAGACCAATTTAGTAACTCTTGCAACTAATTTTGCTTTTCTGATGTGATTTCACTGGATAATTTTTCCTTTTATGTACTCCAGTCTATAATTTAAAGAACAGAGTGCTATCTCTTTAAATAGTATAGGTACTGTAGAGATTGCCAGGCTTATAGCATGGGTCTTGCACTTGGTGAGCTCATTTGCCTCCGGCCTCATACCTCTCCTCAATGGCTGTGTCACACGTATTTGATGCACAAAGTGGTTTTCCTCCCACTCTCTGACCTCAAACACCAGATTTACTTGATCTGAGACCCACTATCCAACTACTTCTGGGGAGAGAGACTGAAGATACTGCACTGTAGCCAGCGATTCTATAGCTTAGCAGGAACTGTACAGTGACAGCAGGTACGAATCCTGGTGCCATGATTCCCTCCCTTCTTTCTATGGGCTTTCATGCCATCAGTTTATAAGGGCACTCTCAGCACGTTGCTGATACAAGTGAGGAGATGAGAGCAGGGAGATTGTCTCTGTATTTAGGAAACGCTCCTGCTGGCACTTCACCATAGCTGTGTAGGTTCTTCGTACTTTTGTTGTCACACGAAGAGCGTGGAGCATACCATCCATACTACACAAGAAGAAAAGCTCTCCTTGGCCTGGGAGTCACAAGTAGTGTTTAGCATGGGACCATGATTTTTTTAGAGACCATTGCTGCTACTACATTAAAAATAGTAGTAAATAATAATAGCAGCAGACATATTCCATATTTAGACATAATTTGGAGATACCAAATTACATCTGGACTTCAAAAATGTCGTGCTGGAGACTAGTACTATTTCTATATATATTTCTATTAATATAGAAATACATACAGGCTTCTAAATCTTGCTGTTGGCTAAATTAAACCTACCAAAACAGCTATAATCATGCAAAGCTAACACTTACTGTAATTTTTAATTAACCTGAGTTTTCCATATTCTTATTTCCCTTACTATTTTCTGCCAAAGATGAAAATTTTTCTTTCCCATATACAAACTGGAGTATTGTCCCCACAGATACAATCCTACTCCTATGGTCTGTGTTAAGGAGTCATTTGCCTTAGATCAGCAGCCTGACATTCCAAAGATGGCAAGCAGCTCAACTACCATGTTAGAAATATATCTGGAAACCAGATCGCTCATCAGAGCCCATAGTGGAACAAAAACTGCTTTACTGGGGTCATAGGTTTTGTTGCAGCACTTCTGGACAGCAGTGTAGAACGTGCATTTCAGTGTAAGGCAGAAATGGAAATCATTATTATTACCAAAAGGCCATAAAGCCGTTGCCAGACCCCACTGTGCCAGGCACTATAATAACTCAAAATAAGATGACTATGTCTGTCCTACTCCACCCTACCCAGTTCTGCCTGCCTGGCAGTGGGATTGCTAAGTGTAGGTGGTGTATCGTAGCCAAGAGAGATGATGTCCTACTCACTCTCTTCAGAAACAAGCTCCACAAATGCTGCTGCTTTTTTTTTCCTCTCCTTTGAAAGGCCCATTGCAGGAATTATGTGAAATGTGTCCCTTTTGTGATCTGTGACCAACTGGGAAAAGATTCTCTGGAATAAAGCACCATGGAAAAGCATTTAGGTTTCCATAGTAACTGCATTTACCTATTTACCCTGTATCCAAAATTGTACAGTATGTCTGCACCTCCTTATCAGCTCCACTTGAGGTAGCAGAGTACAGCCAGGGTCAGGGCTTCAGCTATCGGTACACCAGCAGCTTAATTTAACAGTCATAGGGCTCCAATACATCAACATTACACCTCTGACCACATCCAGAGTGCACGGGAAGTCAGTTTGGGACAGACATCCGATTTTGATTTTGATCACATCGGGGAGTCTGTCTTGCCGGATTTCTGAGACAAATCTGGGTGTGTGTCAGCCTGGCAGCGCATCCACTATAAACAGTTCAGGTTACACCCCCTCTACCTCTGTATAGCTCACAATTATATAATCATATGCCCACATTTCTAGGAAAGCTTGTGAGCCTGTAAAAATCCCATGTTGAAATCCCAAAATATTCTTTTTCTGTCTATACCTCATCGCAGTATTTGATTTTGAAATAACTGCTTTGTATTTTTTAGTTGGAAGAAAATCATTACTTTTAGGCATGAAATAACAAACAGGGTCAAATGCATGTGCTATGAAGGCAAAACTCCCACTGAAGTGACTAAAGTTCCACAGAAGTCAGTGGCAATTTTACATGGAAAAGGACTTCAGGACCTGTTCCACTGCAATGAGGGGCTTGATCGGAGGGGTCTTGAGCTCACAGTCTATGGGAGTTACAAATGGAGAGCTTTATACTGGGAGCAGGTCCCAGGACTGCAGAAGAAGAAACAAGTAGTTGTTGCAATGCTCAAGTCCCTACTACAATGTTAATTAAAGTATAATGAAGATAACAAACATTCTGTCACCAAAAGCTTCAGTATGTAATCATTCCAAGTAGCACTGACAACAGATAGCCTTGCAAAATATTAAGTAGAAACACTTAAAAAAAATTAAACATGCACTGTCTTTCAAATTTCTAAGTCTTGTATTTTATCATCTAATGAATCTTCTGATGATATTTCCTATAAAATTAATACTGAGACCCTTTCTAAAATATTTATGAATACATATTTCATAACAAAAATTGTATCACATAAATATTTCTCACAGAAGCTGCAGAGACGGTGTGAGCAAAAAACTCCCTTCTGGGATTTTAGTAAAAGCAGATCTCACAAAGGATCTGTAAAGAAATAAAAAAACAACCATATATTAATGTAGCATCATATATCCATGATTATAATACTGATCTAGTCATCACAGAGAAATTTATTTATATAAGTTAAAAAAAATACCCCCCCCCCAAAAATAATGTTGCAGGTTTCATGTAGTACAGAAGAAGGTATAAAATGACATGTGTGCACATACACAGAAAGACAGACAGATGAAAGAGATATAAAAATCAGGATTCAAGGATGCAGTACAATTTTAACACATTAGCTGATGATTCTGAATGCTGGAGGTACTCCCTGCAGCAAGCATCCTTCTGTATGCACTGAAAACACCACACATCCTAGTTCATTTTAAATCATAAATTAAATAACCAAATGCTTACAGCCCTTACAGTGAGATAACATCAGGCGGAACGCTGCGAGGAATAGATCTGGCATTTTCACATAAAGCATTATCTTTGGTACAAGTACACCAGGCAGGGCATTTTGGCTTCACTGGTTTCTTCCCTTCAGTCAGCAAAAGCACAGATAAAAGGCATAAGAAATAAGCAATTCTTCTAAAGGGTCTGCTGGCATTTCCCATTCTTTTGATCCGCTCTCGTTCCAGCCAGTTGAAAGAATATCCCAAAACATGAACAGGGTTCTTTATTCAGCCATTGGATGTCTTTCTATAAGTCCAGGTCAATATTTGTCTCTGCTTTCCCAACCCTTTTCTTTCTCTTTCACTCTGTTTTTGTAGACAGAAACCTGCAGCTGATCTGTATGTTTCCACTCACTCAGGCAACGTACTGCTCAGAGAAGAGACCTGCGAGGTGCTGTAAGATGGGGAAAATCCAACCGGCTGAAGGGAAAAAAAAAAAAGGAAGAAAAAAAAAAAAAAGACTTGCATCACCACAAAAACACTGAGCACAACACAGCATTAGATTGCAAAGTGATGTAACTGAGAAATACACTGCTTTCTGTTTTCACAGGGAGGCCCTTTCCCTGTTACCAAAAATAGTACAGCATTATGTTTTGCTGGTGGGTGGGTGAGTGGGTGTGGGGTGGAGTGTATGTGTGTGGGGGAGAAATCAGTCATCTCTTACTGGATCCCTACAACCTCGTGAACCTTTCAGAATTATGCTTCACATATTTCAAGCAGCAGAACTAACGGCAGTATCCACAAGAAAATGAAATCGAGTGAAACCATCAAAAGCATTGCTGCAGAAGCTGTTAGATTAATTTTTATCCTTAGCCCTTATTGCACATATTTATACCACTGAAAAACAAGCTGCCACACATGGAAAATATTACAATGTATGAGAGAATGCCTATGACTCTTATTCCTAAACAAAATATTTTCTCATGCAAAATGAGACCCCAAGTAACTGCAGCTTTTTTTTTTTTTTTTTTTTTTTGAAAAAGAACCCTTCTTATTTTTTACATATTTCCTGCACTGGTTAAATAAAGTGGATCAAGCACAGCTCGATATGGACAACATTCATTTGAAGTTCAATTTAAAACATTTATTTGCTTGGAAACTGTTTTGATCATTTTAGATGGAAAAAAGGAAAATTGTTATTTAAACACCAGCTATGTTAAATGCGTATTAAGAATGGACCTTATTTGAAAAGTGACAGGATAGGGATGGATCTTGGTGATAATGATGAATCTTTACAATACTGCCTGAAGGCTGCAATTGAAATGAGTGCAAGGTGTGGTATGAGTACCCTGTAAGATACAGTTCTCAGCCTGAAGACTTTACAGTAAACTACAATAAATATTTCATAAGGAACTTAAGCAGCACCTAAGTGTTATTATATTAAGAATGGTAAGAGAAAACTAATGAATGCCAAATGGCTGGGAAGCCATATGGGATGATTTTTTGTTTTCAATATAGGATTGCTATTAGAAGAGTTTTGCAAACTTTAACAGGTCTTAACACTTCCCCACAGGACTGTTTACATTATACAGCTCACAAAGCCTACTAGGGTCAACGCAATGGTACAGACATTTAACACAGTCAGGCTCACTATTGGCTCCTTCACATAGATGTTGTCTCCTCACCAGAAGATGCTTGATCTCCTGATGAGATTTCTCTCGATTTCTGGTTGCCTCTCCCTTGATTCCACACGACCGCCTGGCTCTGGCCCATTGCTCCTGCTCTACAGGCCATGGAATCTCAAGATCAACACTGGACCATGTCTGTCTTCCTCAGGAACAATGCCAGCAAGGTCCTAGTGCATATTCAGATATGGGTGCCCAGCAGGAATTTGATATGCTATGGGTGAACATACCACAAAGGGGAACAACAGCCTACAAAACTGTAAGAAAATCAGTGTATGGATACAAGGCAGGACCCCAACATTGCTGAATCCTTGACTGGGCAGTGGCTGATGTCTGTCTGCCTGGGATGAGAGGAGATGCACAGAGCTCACACCAGGTGGTGGGGCTGCATCCTCTGAGGGACTGAGTGCAGCCAGAAATGTCCAGAAAGCTTTCAGAAGCAGACGGCCACCTCCAAAGGCCCTGCTGTGAGAGGACTGCAGTGCCTGTGCGTGGCTTCCCGCCAGGCACCCGTGCCTGTGGAAGAAAGGGCAGCTCGTGCTTTCTCAGCTCCCTCGCTCGCTGTGTTGTGTTTTTGTAAAGCTCTTTATTAATTTAAGCGAGGGCCCATGTTTTTGCTCTTAAGAAAATCTTCCCTGTCAGCAGTCAGCAATTCTCCTGAAGCAGAATTGACTTAATCTAAGAATGACAGAAACCTGTGTTATTTCTGAGCCTTTCCACCGTCTGTAATAAAATGGTACAGAATTACAGTAACCAAAGCACTGAAATAATTATTAAGCAAATGTCAATGCCTTCTCCTTTATATTGAGGTTACTTCTTGCTCTGGAAATGATGTAACTGTATAACCGAGAAGGGAGCTGGATTTGTGGGACTTGTATAAGTAGGGTACACCATCTTCTCCCCTCAAGATGTCCAATGGCACAGACTTGGTGAGGTGAGAACAGAAAATTCTCTTTTTTTTCTGAAAGAGAAGAGGCCTGTTGTTGTTTGTTTGTTTATTCCTGGCAAAGCTAACCATTGCCATGGCAATATTTTGCCATTGATGGTGAAACCCCGTGTTTCATTTCCTTTGGCTCATTCACTGAAATCCACCATCAATTACCTAGGCATTTCTCTTTAGTTAATACTCTGACCACATTGTGAACCTCCTGAAAACTTTGCAGTGTAGCCTTTTTTTTTCAATAACAAAAGCACATTCTGCAGAGAGCAGTAACCTGACTCCAGTTTTGTCCATGCCGAGAGCGGCCTGGAAGTTAGTTTTCTATTCCAAACTACATGCCAAAACAACCGCTTTTTCCAAAATTGCAAACGTTATGAATAACAGCTCCATCAAAAGAGAGGCATAATTTTCCAGGGGCCTTTTCTGCCAAGCTCAGCATCTCATTTCTTGCCATGTGGTAGTTTAAAACCACATCGATTCGTGGATTTCCAGTGGCACAGCTTCTCCCCAGCCCCCGCGACACTTGGCTCACCCTTTGCGATGCCATCGCTGTTTGTCTGCTGGCCAGCGGAGCAGGCAGTGGCAAGCTGTGCCCACGGACCAGCGCCTGCCTCTCGCTCCCTGCTTGTTTTCCCGGGTGTTTCAGGTACTGAGTAGGCACAATGGGATTCAAAATTCATTTATTTTTTTTCTTCCAGCAAGGTTCCAGCAGGGGGGATTAGGGAGTTGTGGATGCGTTCCTCGGTCTGCTTCCCATCACTTGACGTTCTGGCCGAAAAAGCCGCACCGTGCGGTGCCGCGGAGGGGCCCGGCGGGCGGGCGTGCTCCGGGATGGCCGGGGGGACGCGACTGAGGCCCGGCACGGGCTCTGCTCCGCCGCCGCCCCGTATCCCGGCAACCCGGGGCACGGGCGGCGCCCGCCGAGCCGCGGCCTCGGCCGAAGGGCCTGAGGGAGCGCCACGGTCCCCCTCGCCCCCGGGGCCCCCGCGATGTCAGCCCTCGCTGCAGCCCCAAGCCGGGCGGCCCCGGTGCTGCTGCGCGACTCTGCCGATACATTGCAGCTCTACGCCCTAGTGACCCATCGTTCCCCACGCGGTGGCTCTCTACGCGGTATCCAACAGATTGTTTCTTCCAGAGTATCCAAATGGTTTGATAGCAACATTTTTTGATGATAATCAACCATCTAGTAGCAAGCGTGGTGCAAATATGACAGCAAAAATTAAAGCTACTTTTGCCTGCTGTCATTAGGGGTATTTACCACCCACCACTGCCTGTGTTCCAGACTTACCACAACTTCTGTGGCTTGGTTTCTAGAGCAAAAATATGCATTTATTATTTTTAATATTTACTAAGCATACATTTTTAGCAAGTTTTCTCCAATATCTGGTTAAAATGTGAATACTTCCGCAAGTAAACCTGTTTGCTACAGTATTTGAGGAAAGCAAACACAAATGTTCAGAACATAGAACCAAAAATTACTTTTAAAAATATTTAATATTTTTGAGGGATTGACTCTGCTCCATGACTATATTTGCATATTTGCATTAGACCAATATGTTTTTATTACCAACATACAACAAAATTTGAATAAGCTTCCTGTGGTTTCATGCTCAGTACATTTCTCTTTGCAGATATATATACTGTTAGAGTTGTTCTTAATTTCATGCTGTTTTTAGAAAACTCTGTTGCCTTTTTTCTGCTCAGGATGAACTGCCTGCACATATGTAGCCTAATCCAAAACCCACGGATGATGATGATGATGAGACTTTAGTGAACTTTACTGTCCTTGGTGTTCAGCCCATGATATTACACCACACAGATGGGCAATAGTCCACCCTAGTGTTCATGGATCTCTTAAAAGCAAAACATTGTCATTGCTATGTTACCACTGTGTTTGAAGTAGAAGGATTTTGAGATCAGACTCCTAAACATGAGTCTCAGCTTCTTCCTCTCAGTGCCACCCTTTTAACAAATTCTGTAGCAAATGGCAAATTTGAAGCAGCTGAGAATGAGGCTGTACTTTCAATAAACAAAACTAAGTCTTGTGAATGCTAAACAGTTCTGAAAAGACTGTGCTTCCTGGTGGATCTGCCACCAAGAGCCATTGCCAGGAAGAGGCCTTCTGCAGGTTAGGCATAAAACTCAAGATGCCTTTACAACAGCTCATAGCACAGATGAGCTATGGGAGTGATCGTAGGGGTGCCTGAAACTTTTTATTTGGAAAATTCTGCTGACTTTGCCCTATCCTATCTATACAGGTTTGTATTATGGGTATCCTTATTATACCACGAGAGTTTCCTTAAAAGCAGGACAACCAGGCCAGTCCCTGTGTCAAAAAGCCAAGGAAATGGCTACTTAATTGCTGCCAACTTTGGAGGAAAGAAAAACTTGGAGGGTGGTCTCCTTTCCCTTGCATAAAGTAGTCAGTTCACAGTTCACCCTGGAGTTAGAAGTGATCACCTCTGATCTGAGTCAGGTCTTAGTTCTCATGGCCAAAACTGCATAGTGATGTAGAACATCTACTCCACTGAACATATCCTGGTGAGTGTGCAGGGGTCTCCAGAACTGTTTGCTGGCTTAGGTACACCATAATTTGACCTATGACAAAAAGTATGTGAGACAAGATGTAGTGGTATCTGAATGATCTCTCTTTAAGAAAAACAGATGCACAATGTATTTCATTCAAAGAGAAGCCAGGTAAAATTAATCTATGTTTAGGTTTTATTTTGTTGCAACCAAGGACCTTCAACATCTTTATGAATCTTGATGCTTCATTTTCAATTGCAGGCTTTTAAATAGTAGAAAATATTAGAAATTGCCTCAGAAGACACTTTAAAGATACAGGATTTCTACCCTTTGTGATTTTTGAAAGGCTCTCTCAGGATGGGAGGGACCCTGGGAGAACACCTCATCCAACCTCCTGGGTAACCAAGAAGGATAAAGGCTAAGAAGCTAGATAGGAAGTATCCAAAATGTAATATATTTTGATATCACATGGTTTTTAAACCAGTATCACAAAATTTTGAAGACCTAATCCATCGTCTTTGAACAGCTGATGTTGACAACACTGCTAATGTTAAGTGTGTTTACACATTCTGTGGGATGCCTGTTCATGCTGGTTTGTCTTCCAATGCAGGAAAATCAGTGCCACAACTTGGTAGCTTTACTTTATGTAAGTAAAGAAAAAGAACAAAACTATCAAACAGAAAATCCCATTAACTGTCTTTCAGGTCAGACATGGACATAACTTCTACTGGACTGGCCCTTCACCATGAGAACAAATAATCCTATTGATCTGGTAATGTATTGACCCCCAGTTTCTCCTGGGGCTCTCTGTTCCTGCTCTTCAAAATAAAATTGGACCGATATATAAAACCCAGAGCTGGGATTCCTCAGCTCTTCCCTAGATCCTGCATTCTGTTTTCCAGCAGACTGGGACCAGTTACTTTCTCAGGTTTCGGAAAGGCTCCTAAGTTCAATTACAAAGCAGTGTGCTTTGCAGCACACAATCCAATAGCGTGAAGTTAACTGCTGTCCTGATTACCAGCCACTTTTCTCCAGATCTAAACAAATAGTTCTTGCTTTGCTTCTGTTGTCTCTGTTTTGCCTTGAAAATCCTAACAATGGATATTTAGAGTTGGGGGGGAAATGAAAGACCAAACATACAAGCTCAAGAGCAAAGCAGAGCCCAATTCAAAGATGTGTGAAGCTGTGCTACTTCATGGTTCACAGCAGGAACTGAGACCACACCTAATACAGGGGGAAGTATAAGAAAGGAAACAATATAAAAGAACACTACGTTTTCACTTGCTGCAGAAATCTGATTTTTTCAGTCTTACAAGAAAACTTTTAAGAAGATTTGCCTCTGGTTGATTTATACTCAGGGAAGATCAACTTCTCACATGTTGGAAATGGGGACACTTTTGAGACAGACAACATGCCCATCCACTTCAGTGGAACCAGCATCACACTCATCACATAGCATACATCTTACTGTAAGAGCAAGTGCCCTCTATATGAACCCCTCAGGGAGGAAAAGTCTTGTTCAAATATGTAAGTTACTTTTTTGCTTTTTCTTCCCCTACATAGATAGATGAGACATTAAAAGCATGGTAGTACTGAGAGAATCTATGCTTGATTTATAATTGGAAAAGGTCTCATGACTTTTGAAGAAACTAGCGTGGTGATTTTAAGATGTACTTCTGTGCAATGCTTTCCTTAATGGGATGGTTTCTCTCTTACCCACTCTTCCAAGTACTCTTGGTTCCACTCTCTTCCACAGCTCACTACTAGTGTTTCTGACTCCAGTGCTGTTCTCTAAACTGGATTAAATAAATGACTTGATAGAAGAACAAGAAAACAGATAAAACTCTAAACAACAAAGAGCATTGGTTTCATAGTTAAGAGAAAATGTATAGGAGCCACACTCTTGAGGGGCAGTTTCATGTTACAAATGCTCACAAACATTTAAATGAACCATAAAACAGAACTGGTGACAAAGTACCTCAGTCTGTACCAAAAACGGACAAAAAAGGAACCTCATAAAATGCCCTAGTATTTAGCTAGCATAGTTTAAAAGTGATTACCAAATTGGACGACAGACTTTTAACACGTGTATACAAACTGACAGGAAAATCATAATTATCACTGATAATTATGATCTCCACTCTGCCAGCTCCTTGTACTATTTCTTAGTTTATTAGTTATTCATAGATTATTCATAGAAGGTATCCTTCATGCCTACAGAAGGAGGCATAATAGGGATAGAAAATCCAGTCCAGTAGGAACCCTGCATCCAAAACAAAATGTCCCAGATTTTCTATCATGAGCAAGTGCTTTCTACAGACCCAAAACAACATACTACTGTCACTGTAGCTAAATGCCATTTAATTGGCAGCTAGGAAAGTCTGTAATACATTTCTTCATGGAAAAATGTTTGAACTCTTCCAGTTTGTCAAGATGCTAATTAAAAACAGACGGCATGTTACAAAATCCTTTCCTTGACCTGTGCTATCTTACATGCCCTTCTGTACTTTTTTCATGGCATTGGCTCCCTGAAGAATTGATCTAATCTTTATAAAGTTGTCTTTAGTTTTCCTTGTCACTTTGCAGACAGAAAAAAAGTAACAGAATATTATTTATTTAAATGTACATAGGAAATTTATTTGTAACATGGCAGAAACAACAGGCATTTGAGGAGAGTCTTCACTTGTTAAAAACAGAAAGTTTTTACATAGTGAATAATTCAGAATGGAAGAAATCTTAGCGCCACTGAAGTCACCGAAATAGTTCAAGTAAAAGCCTTGCTGGAGTGTCACTGACATAATAAATTGCACAACAAGAAGGACATGCCTCATCAAACACATATTATAGTTTCATCATTACTAATCAAAATGCTTTACAAAGCAGGGATTTGGATCAGCGCTGAAACATTTTCAGGGGTTGTTGTATTTTACTGATGTTTTTATTGTTCTTAACAATGTAAGAAATTTGAAAAAATACCTCAATTCACTAAGAGCTAATCCTTGTTACCTCAAGCAAATGCCAGATCTGCCTGACACCCCACCCTACACCATGGCAGGCACGCTGCCACTGCACAAGCCCAGCACAGATTCTCCATCAAATAAGATACCGCACCAAGCTGAATGTCCCTTTTTCTTATGAACCACATCCCCCAGCAGAGGAGACTCTGGAGGGCTGAAGAAGTCCATCACATCTGTTTGCTCATATGCCAACATGCTATTTCCTCAGTACAGCTTTAAGAAAAGATGCTCTTTTGGCTGCTGGCCCTCTCCCTCTGCAGTGGGAGAACAAAACCAATACAGCATATTTATCCAAGACCTGTCTGTAGTTTTAAATATAGTTTTCATGGCAACAGAGAAATACATGTTTTAGTTATGACTGCTCAGAAGCTAAAGGATTTTCCCTACCTTGAGTATAGTAACATTCACATTTTGAGTTCAAAATGCTTCCTAATTACCACTTTTCTAAAAAACAATCCAAATACCACATATCTGACTTTTTTTAGACACCAATCACTTGTAGGCATCTGTAAGTTTCCACTGTTGCTGCCCTTGTGATTTAGGCAAGAGTCATTAAAACTGGAAGGCCTAATTCCCATCCTCAATATAATGCATTAGTAAGAAGTAATAAACTCCTCAATGAAGCAGTATAGCTCCCCAGCTAAATAAATGGCACACACTACTGATTAAACAAAGGCACATGTGGCATTTTTTCCTAAGAATTTTTTTAGAAGCAAATGGATAAATATATAAGAGAAAAAGAGAAGAGCAAAAAAGCAGGAGTGGGAACTCAAGAGAACAGTTGAGACATCACAGATTTTGGCCCCCAAACATGGAAAGGGGGTCTTGAGAAACATCTCTAGAGGACTTCTCGGAGCAAGTATTGGTTGAAAAGAGCTTGGAGCTGCAAATAGTCTCCTGCTGTTCAATTTGCTCTTCATTCAGGGAAATGAAGGCTTTACATTCTTTGCAAGTAAAGACTGAATCAAAGATACCTGATTCCATTAACAATTTATTTTCCTGAATTGAACAATCAGAAGTAGTAACTTTTTAGATAACTGATCAGGTCAGGAGTAGTAATAATGCTTTACTCTGTATATTCTGCTGTTCCTGCTCCCCTGAGGGAGGCAGATGCCCCTTCATATACACATTATATATATTAAGATCTCTTTCAAGAGCTATATATAGCTTCTATTCACAGGCGAGCACCACAACCACTTATTCATTCTTTTCATGCTTTACCTGCTGTTTTCAAGGCTGCCCTGATGCTAAAAATAGCTTCGCATATTAGAGGAGGGTTGCTATAGATTCCGAGTGAGTGATGTTCCAAAGACAGCTAAATCCCTCTTTGCCGAGGACATGCAGGATCCGTGTGGATGCAGCTGGTGGGCAGCTGTGACCAGGGCTCTGATGCCCTTTCACAAAGACTCTCATGCTCTTAGATTGGGGTATTTGTGTTGTTTTTAAGACTGCACTGAACTGCAAATCAATACAAATCATGGATGTCATCGCAAGTTTAAGGCTTTGTTTTTCATACTGTAGTGTTAGATCAGAGTAAAATACCTTCATATATTAATGGCACATTACCTTCTTTTTAACTAGGAAAACAATTTAATAGTCTGTTGTATGGGCATATTTTTCTGCAGGCATTGCTGTCTTCAAGTAAGAAAATATCAAAATGCTTCACTAGTCTTCTTACTACAGAGCGGAAAGGATGACAATTCATCATCTACTTGATTACTTTCAAGAAAGCAATGAAATTACATTAAAAATTGTACTACAACTGCTGTTGTTTTGAACTTCTGGCAGTGTGTCCTCTGACAATACTGACATAGCTAATGTTAATTTTGGAAGGTACCTTCCTGTCTCACAATTTAACGGATAGTACAAGTGAAAAAATGCTTGTACCTAACCTTCCAACTCATTTACCGCATCAAACAGTGAAGTCTGCTACAGTTAAGAGTCATTTGGCTTAAGATTATTAAACCTTCATTTACAAAATTTGTCAAAGAAAAAGTTTGGAATAATAGGAAAGATTTTATTTTACCAAGCTTGGACATGTAGAGGTTTTGAGCACTCTTTTCAGAACATATTTATCTCTATATTCTGCAACTAAAGGCATCATAAAATGTTTTCCAGCTTTTAAAAATAATTTTTCTACATTAGGAGAATATCACTGGTTGCATCCTTTCAGGATAGTGAAGATTGGATAAATGGAGATAAGCAAGTGTCTGAATAAAACTTTTCTTTCATAATGTAGTAAAATCCTTTCAAGGTATATAACAATCTGATCTTGAATGTGAAGGCAAGATACATGAAATAAAGGGTAAGTTTCAAGAAATAATGGATGACAAAATATTGGCCATTAAAGTAACTCCTGCATAGAAACATGGGAGTTTCATTCCACAGTATACATTAGCTCCCAAACATGTAATAAAACAGGTTCATGTCTATATATAGAATATCCTAAACTTCCTCAGCTACATTAAATTTCTTAAAAATTTAGTGATTTTTAGAAAATTACAATGAAAAGTTGAAACTCAACCAAAAAAAAAAACATATGACAAAGATTATGCTTCAGGAGATCTGTATTAGAAACTGAATTTAATGTTTCATCTCAAAGACCAATTTTTCTAGTTCTTAAAATTTGTGGTTGGATTATGAACACATCTAAGATAAATGAGGTAGTTAGAATAGTATTTTCCTTTTGTTAACAGACTCATAGAAACCTGCCAAATACTGACCCTGTTAAGGCTGAGCTTCAAATAAAAGTTGTACGGGGAAAGAGTGGTATGGATTTACTAAAGATTGTTAAAATATATTAAACCAGATCCTAACATAACTCTGAATAACACAATCCATCTTTTAAGAACTGTGTATTTGAGGCCAACGTAATACAAACTTGCGAGAAGATTTAATGAAATGCTAAAGGAAATGTTTTTTCACTCAAATCCCACTTCACATCCTGACCCTTATCTTCCATGTGGTTATGTTTTATTTCCATTCAAGAAAGGCAGTCATCTAGATATGTAACTGTTAATGTTTTGACTTGCAAATTGAATGTGGCTTTAGCAAGCAGCATGATCTCCCCCAGGGTACAAGCTGGAATATTTCTTTTTACTTGTCATAGATAGTTTCCTCAGTGGTTTTTTTTGAGTCTGCCATTTTCACTTCTGGAGTTGTGGGTATTGCACAGCTCAGTGTTGCTGGCTGTATAACAAAACTTGATATTTGTAACTAAGTTAGACTAAGTATTCCCATTGAAGATAGTTATCTTTCCCATTCCACTTAGGTGCTGCAGAATGAATAGCATCCTGCTAATACTTTCAATAGAAAGGTTGATAGTATTTCAGTACTTTATGTCTGAATGATATTGCTGATTAAATAACACAAAATTGTATTTAATTTGAAATATAATCCCTATTATTTCCAAAACCTGGCAATCAGTAGTATACTTTTACTAATAAAAGATCAGTTCTAGCAGAATGGCTAATGGTATTATTAATTAAATGAGGTCTCACAGCAGTACTCTATAAGCACGTTCATTAAAAACTGTGAAATAGGAATTTTTAACTGATTCATCCTACTCCACTGCTCAGACCAGCCTCTTTATATCCCTGTACCCTTGAGTTCCACTGAAGGATCAACTACTGATCACCTCAACACAGATACTATCAGTCTGCAGCTACTGTACTACTTTACTATGTAAATAATCCTGCTGATATAATAAGATGAAGTGAGGGTTGATTCTGTCATCATTACATCATATTATGCTCCTATACCTTATTTTTTAAAATTTGACTGTGAGATTCCAAACAATTGACTACACCACTGTATACTAGAAATAATCTCTGACATATTTTCTTAGCTTTAGGTCAACTAGTGGAAAACATTGTGATGAACACATCTCACCAGGTGCATAGTACAGTTTGTAGGACTGGCCTTCTTGCTTCCTGTATTAAGATCTCAACTTCTAAGTTAAGATGAAACACATCTTCCAAAAAAACAGGTGTTTTCTGGAACATGTATGTAGGAATGCGACCTTATTTCTCTATTATACTGTATGTTAGACTCAGACTTTGAAGCACCTTTCTTTTCCAGGTTATGCTGAATACTAGGTACATAAATTGTGCTTAACTGCTTCCATGATTCAGAAGATCATGACTTGTGGGTCACCTTTTGGTATAGAAGACTTTAGATTCGAAATATTCACTGTCAATGGTTTATACCTTTCCTCAATTCCCGTAAGTGAATATTATGAATATACATACATGGTAGACATAAAGCACAAAAAAGCATGTCAGGAAATAAGAGAATGTGTATTGTTTCCACTATGGCTTAAATGTGCAATGGATTGTAATTTTGCTCACATATTCTTTTATTCCCACGAAAAAATCCAGTGGGAAACAATATAATTTAAAGAAAACAAGTACATTGCTTGTTTGTCAGTTGCTTGGGGTTTTTTATTTCCACATTACTATATTTTCCTTCTCTTGCTAACTATTGTCCATCATTTTTCATCTTATATAATAACTCTTATATCAAACTGGAAAAACAGATTTCCATTTTTCTTGTATTTATGTAATTGAATGCCATCAATCAGTTTCCACCATAGAAGATCTAGACATAAAAGTAAGATTAAGCATTCTTTGCTCTCTTAGGAAATTGTTCATACTTCAGGGAATTTAAGCATAATGAACTTCTAAAATCTCCTCAAAGGAAAACTGGAACACGGTGGAGGAGTTAGTTTCTGTATTCCACTTATTTCAATGCAGGTTGATAAAACTACGAAGTAGTATTTTCTACATTTTGGTAATTACTTTTTAATTAAATTCCTGACAGGCTGAAGTCACTACCCTTGTTTATGCACGCCTACATAATAATCTTTTAGTGAGCTTTGTTCTCAGCACAGCTGCCAGACTGGAAGCTCTGGAGACCAAAATTACCTGCCACACAACAAATGTGGCACTAGCAGTGACAATTAAAGGACACTAGACAGAAGTCTACATAATATATCTCTAGGGGATATATCAGAGTAAATCAGTCAGTCGTCGGAGACTGGCAAGTGATGTGTGGTCCTACCCCAGACCGTACAGCCCGCACTGCTTTCTTAGGCAGTAACATAGGTCCCTAACAGTGTCAGAATCACTGCCCTGCTACTATGGTCTTTGCTAAAGGTGCTCTGAGGTATGACTTACTGTATGGCCTCTCAGTTTTCAAACTCAGGAACAAATATCCCAGCTTCCAAGTTTTTTATCGTATTGGAAGTCTTAGTGTTCTAGAAATTCTGTCCCCATCAATGTATCTGACATTGATATCCAATGGTGTTTAACAGGAATAATTAAGAGGAAAATATCCACCAATAACTGGAATTTAGGAAATTTGATATTCTTATAATAGGATTAGATATCATACTACTATCTCTATTTTATCTTATTAACAACTAAAATGCAATACAATGATTGTCTTTACTTATACAAAGGCCTGGGATTTTGGAACTAGGAAGGAAACTGAAGATAAATCAGATGCTACGTTTTCGAAGGCACTTTTCTAACAATGATTACACAATGAAATGGTAATTGCAACTTCAAAATAGCATAAAGCTGCACAGCTGATCTTGAAATAATGGACACAGCATGGGTTTGCCTCTGATTATTTTTTGTATCTGACTCTATACTGGAAATAACTTTAAACACAGAAGTGCTTTTCTTGAATAAACTATGTTATCAGCCAAACAAATAAAACTGCATTTGCCTTTAAGCACAGCAACATTGACATCTAGTGGCTAGTTAAGCTTCATGTTTGATATTCTTTGTATGACAAAAAATTGTGTAACATGCCATTTACTGAATTTGACAAAATAAACATGCATTGCAACAGCCTGTTCTGTCCACATAACCTCCTGATGATTACAAAATGACTAGCCTTTTAATGACTAGTTTGGAGTGACCAGTACCAGTGATGGGAACTGGTAAGTGTGAGCCATTGTCCCTCCTACACAGCCCACTGTTTTTCCCTGACTGTCAGGAAGTCTTTAAGTTTGGGAGTCAGCTGCCTGCCTGAAGTGTACACCTTCCTCGGGGCTCGTTGGGAGGCACAGTGCAGCACTCAGCTTGTGCACGGGTACATCTGAATGAAGAACTACCCTTACTGAATGTGATGGCACATACTGGCATATGTGAACACCCATTTTTAGTTTTACTTGCTTTTCAACAAATTACTAGGGGGCTTCAGATAGGAGGAGATAAAAAGTCAAGAGCATGACAGATGCTAAGGTACTGTTTGTACTATGAAGACACGAAAATAAGTGATTTGGCAACTTACTTCATAGACATGTAGAAGATAGGAAGGTGCCAATATCAAATAATTTTAGAAAGTCTAATTTCCTCACTTGTCAACAAAATAACTGACTTAATGGAGAAAAAAGCAAAGATTAGACAGGACGGATCTCAATTTTACCAGCCTTCTCGATCGTTCCACATTACTATCTCACAATCAAACTCAAATGTAGACAGGTATGTCCCCTGCAAACAGCTCTTAAAATGGATGCGGTTGACTGCCTTGCCTTTGTTCTCCATACCAGTGGTAGTTGCCTCTTCAGGCCTGCTGGCAAAGCCTCCTGATTTATTTTATTAAAAATTGGACCAATGTTTTAATTGGCTAACCAAACTAATTCAACAAATCAGAGGCTGTTGAGTTCAAACGACTTTATCAGAAGATCTGCAGGAAGGCTGATGTGTTTCTTCCTGGCTAAATACTGTTAAGGACTAAACAGCTATGCTTTGTATTACTTAGAAATATATGGAGAAATCTGAGTCTGAAGAAGAGTAATAAAACATAAGAGTTCTCTAAAATGTAACCAATATAGAAAGGTTAAAGTACTTTCTTAGGCTGCAAAGAGGGAAGAGGGTATATGTGTCTTCAAACTTTTAAAGATGTTATTCAAATGATGATCCGTTCTTGCTTCCTGTATCAACTAATGAAGAACATTAAGAAATTATCTCAAGTAGCAACAAAGATGATTTTTCTTAGATAGTAGAAAAAATCCTTTATACCTAAGAGGTTAACAGATTAAGCTATTTATGCTGTGAACTTGCCTGTACCGGAAGCTTTCAGGAACAGCTCAGTACGTTGATATTCTTTGAATTCTGCATCTCTGTCATGTATGCACCATGTTGACTTAAGCTTTTTGGATACACTAGGTCTCACACTTTGCCCATTCTAGATTTAGAGCAGGACTAAAGTAAAAACTACAGTGACGTCTCCTTTGTGAACCATGAAGTTCAGGGCTACTGTAATTTAAGATTGTTTCACACTACTGGTGAGTGATCCGAGAGAGAGCTGCTGCTGAAAGGGCAACTCTTTTCTCACCTCCTCCTTCACTCCTGTACCATCCCTCCATCCGTAAGCTTTTCTGCCCCACCACTAGTACTCATAAGACACCACAGCAGGATAGTCACAGGAGCTAGGCTGGCAGAAAATTAAACACTGCATTCAGCAGAAATGGTCAGATGAGCACTAGGGCCACTTCAAGAAGAGGAATGCTCTCTTCAGCAGCAGCTAACCTATAGATTGATTTATCTGTAAAAGAAAGCTGTGCTCCTAAGGTTTGGTTGTACAATCGTTGAAATCTAACTTAAAACCATAGCACCTCCTGCCTGCAAAGAGTTAGATCCCTCTCTTCTTTTTCCCATATCTTCCAGTCTGGTGGGACTCGTATGAGAGAAGTGCCTTTTTGGTGTCAAAGCATACTGTTGCTGGATTTAAACTGTGGAGATACTCCCATAGGAACAAACTATGATGCATACACCAGTGGCTAAGAACAGGTTCAGTTCCAACTTCCAATTTATTTAGGAGACCATTTCTGATCGAGTTCCTCAGCTGTAGCTTACTGTAGCTCACATATAAAAAGCAATCAGGTGGTATTTGAAAGCAACACAGTCAGACATCAGAAAAGCATGGCATAGCAAGATGAAATTATCTAGCCACTATTCTGAGAAAAGCTGTTTATAAAATAACTTCAGCATCTACAGCAGTTGCTGTAGTTGGATTCACTGCAGAATTTCCCTGTCCCAGAAACTTTATTTTTTCTATATGCAGGCTTTTGTGGCCACAACACAATGCCAAGAGATTCAAGAATCGTAAATCTTTCCTTTACCTTTCCCACTCTTCTTCAAAGTGCATAATCAATGATATGTTGGCCCAGTTTCCAGAATCATGTCAGGATTCATTCACACTAAAGCAGTCTGTCATTTCCATAAGAGAAGAACAACAAAAAGATGCCTGCTATTACAGCTTTGAGGGTATACATTATTTATTCTGAGATATTTAAATTATTAATTAGGATAATTCCATTTTTGCAACAGAGTCTCTGCCCGTTAGAGGAAACGGGCCACATTCAGTAGGACTTCAGCAGAATACTGCATACACACAGATAAGCATAGTCCCACTCAGTTCCTTTCTGTGGGACACTTCATAATGAGCAACAAACACTAGGTCAGTAGAAAAAATACTTTTGTTTTTAAAAAGGAGATTTGGTACACCCTGCATATTGCAAGGACAGCAGTAGTATTTTAAATATTCCCTGTATTAAGTGTATCTGCGGTTTAAGAATCCAGGAATCGATAACGCAAATGGAAACTTTGATACAGTCCAGAAGAAAGTATCTGTGATGGATTGATTAAAGCATTTCAGAACTCAGCAGTCAAAATGCTGGTTCAGGTATTGTGTTTGATGGGAAACTAACCATTCTTAGACAGCTACTTGCTGTATCTTATGACTTAATGCTTATGACTTATCAGAAAACACTGTTAGTTTATAAAGCTCCTCTCTGATACAACCCACAGGCTCTAAAACTCTATTGCCCAGTTGCCGTCGGTCCTCACACAGAAACTGGGTCACGTACGTTCTGGGTCACATTTCGTCCTTCTAACTGCGAGATGCGATCGAAAAGGAGAATCGGAGTTACCGATGGCCGTGCCCAGGCTGAGCCGCGCCGAGGGCAGCGCGCACCTCCCGCACCACACGGGCACGCCTGGCAACTGCTGCCCGCCGCCGAGCGCCCCCCGGGCCCCTCCGCCCCGGGGGTCCCCTTCTCCCTCAGGGGTCCCTTCCAGAATGCCGGACCCCCGCTCCCGACCCTTCCCGAGCGACCCTTTCCGCCGGGCCCCGGTGCCCGCAGCCGGATCTGAGCCGGTGCACCCCGAAGTGGGGACTGATCTACCCGAAAGCGCTGGGGGTGGTGCGGGGGCGAACCGGGGCGGGGAGGAGAGGGGCGCGCCGAGGCCTCTCCGAGCCCCTGCGGCTGAGTCCTACCTTCCCAGAGGCGGAGACCGCGGCAGCCGGGGCCGCGCACCGGGTTCCCGGACAGGGAGACTCCCCTCGCCCCTAAACATGATGAGCGGCTTTCCCCTCCCCTCCCGTGCCGGCTCGCCCTCGCCCTCCCCCGCGTCCCGCTGCCCCGCGCCGCCCGCCGCCGCGGAGAGAGGGAGGGAGGGAGGAGGGAAGGGACGGGAGCCCTCGGCGCGGGCGCTCCGCCTCTGCCCCGCTTTCCGGGAGCGGCCCGCGAAGCAGCGCCGGCTCCGGGAGCCGGGCCGGGCGGTGCAGGCGGGCCTGGCCGCGCCGCCGCCATGGAGCCCAACCAGCTGCGCCTCTCCGCGGCCGTGAGTGGGGCAGGAAGGACGGGAGGAACGGAGGGCACCCGGCAGGGACAGGCCCGGCGGAGGCCGCGGCCTCCATGGCGGCGGGGCCGGGCGGGCGGGGAAGGGCCAAGCCGCCCTCCCCGGGCGGGCTGCCGGCACTCTGCGCCCCTGTCTCGCTCCGGCGGGAGGGCCGGGTCAGGCGGGCCGGGTCAGGGCTGGGCGGCTTGCGGAGCCAAGAACGACTTCAAAGCCGCGTCGGACCCCCACGGGCTGGTGGTGTTCGCCGTGACTTTTCTCCGTGGAGCTCCACAAAATTCTAATGCTCTCTGTCGTGGTCTTCTGATGGCTACCTTTTACTCCTGCTTCTTCTTT